GATCGAGGTAAGACTAACTGGCCTATAGTTTCCTGGATCCTCCTTCCTCCCCTTTTTGAAGATGGGAGCCACATTGGCCCTCTTCCAGTCCTCTGGCACCACACCAGAGTACCACGAGTGCTCGTAAAGCTGTGCCAGGGGTCCCGCAATGACTTCAGCCTATTCCCTCAGTAGTTGAGGGTGGAGACCATCCGGACCAGCTGATTTGAATACATCCAGTCCCTCCAGAAGTTCCCTAACAAGTTCCTCACTAACCCTTGGCTTAGGTGCGCCTCCCCTGGGGTCTAGGGTCTCCAACACGGTCTCTGTTCTCCCTCCCAGCTACAGCAGAAGTGTGAGGATCCTAGTTTGTGGTGAGGCAGGATTGTAGCTCCCCTCCCTCCTCTGATTATTGCATGCTCTACTGATCCTGTGTTGCGTCAACTGCCACTGAGAGCAGCACCGAGGGAGGGCCACGGTGGCATCTTTTGAAATGCCGTTGGTTCGACATGGTGACATTCAGTGAGCGGTACAGGAGGACTCTTCCAGGAGCTGCGAGCGACTTCCATGGCAGCTCGTTCAGAGAGTCCCTTCAGTGACTGTGCAGTGCTGCTCCAGTCACGCTCTAGCTACTGATGGATTTTGCAGCTGTGAAATTCAAGATAATTGTAACCGCACAACACAGTTAGGTGATTCCGAAAGTGGGGGAGGAATAAAATTGTGTGCTGCGGGAATTCGCCTGGCTTCATTGATGACTCTGGGCGCAGTCATCAGAGCAGGCGACTTGGGGGCCTGTGTCTCGTGAATGTGGAGCCAAAGACCTTGTCTCCCTTTTTCTGTGCAAATGGACCACATTTTTATACCTACTGCTGACTCAACTAATAGCTTGTTCTGGGCGACTCCTAGTCTGAATCCTTGTGAAGTAGCACTATCTGTATCCTACTGGTTCAATTCACTTGGAGATGCTCAGGAATCAGGTATTTGCCTGCCCAGCCGGCTCAGCATTTTGAAGCAGAATCTGTATTTTGGTTCTGTGCATGCAAGATTGGAAGTTTATTCTACATGTATTGCCACAGATGTCAGCCTGGCTGAGGGAGACTCCCTGTAGCATTGAATGAAGAGCATTCCTTTAGTTACATGGGGGTTTTTTTAAAAAAGGAAAAGGCCCCACAGCACTTGTTTCCATGACAACAGGAAAAAAATTGCTTGCAATATTTCTGCTCATCAGCCCTGAGAACAATCTGATTGATAGTTACATACGGACAAGTGGAGAAATAGCAAAAAAAGGAGGCAATTATATGTTACGGTTTTCTTGTCCTTGGATGACTGTGGCTGGAGTAAATGATCAGCTTTCCTTGTTATCCCTTGCTTTGCCTATAGAGATGACATTACTTTGTTAGGGACAATGAAATGTCTTATCGCTACATTACTTGTCTGTAGGAGATGTACAACTCCTGCTTTGAGTCTTTTTATTGCAAATTTACCTTTTCTAAAAGTCACCTATAGTACACACAGTGAACCTCATCTTTTGACCAGTGGTTATGAGCAAAAACGTCTTAACCTAAATGCTTAGATTGCAAATATAAAGGACCAAAGAACTGGATTGGGAATGTTTTATTAGTCCATGTGGCCATATTCACGCTAGCATGAGTGAATTACAGATCTCAGTTTCCAGTGGTAGAGGGTTTTTTTCTTCCACCAAAAACTCATCAAGAAACAACATCAATCTCTTCAAGGCAGATTTGTTTGAAACGCAGACCTCTTTAAGGTCCCCTCCCGATGTTACCTTTCTTGTGGGATGTACATGAGTATCAGAGAGAGATTCCTGCACTATCTCGCAGTGCTCTATTTCCTCTCCCCACAACCAAAAGAGAGGAGAGAGCAGGATGCCTCCTGACCGCCTGCCCAGGGGTGTGGTATTACAGCTACCAGGCTGGTGACATCTTTTCTGGGTAAAGGTCCCAATGTGCAGTGTTGGTTTGCCACAATCTAGCACCTGGGGTAGGTAAAAGACTCGGTGAGCCTACAGCCTAGGGACTCAGACTGCCACTGACTCCAGTGATCTGGCTCCAGTATTGCAAGCACAGCTGGTAAAAATCCCAGCGTGCCGCAGCCTGGGGAACTGATCATCAGTCAGTGGCTTCTGGGCTCCCTGGCTACAGGACCTGGGAGCTTTAATAGGTGAGGGGCTCCCTTGCAAGGGATGGCAGGGGCTGTGGAAGGGCTGGGGGGTGGAGGTCTGTAAACCAGTAGTACCTGCAAGGGTTTACATGCCCTTTCAGTAAGACAACGTCCTGGGCTTATGGCCTCAAGTTGTTCCCTGTGGCTCGGCCCAGAACAGGAGGCTGAAACTAAGAAGGGGGGGGCTGAGCACAGCCGTGGCAGCTTTTGGCGAGTCCATACAGCCAGGCTGCCCTGTCCATGGAACAGGAGGTAGGCAGCTAAATAAATATCAAGACGTCTAATAAAGGGAATGAGAGACTAGCAAAGGGACTAAAGAAAGGGAAGGTGGAAACAAGTCTTCAAGGGACCAGGAAAGGAGAAGAGAAAAGCTGCAAAAAGGGACCAAAAAAGGCAGAGGATGAAAGAGATCGAGTCATTTGTGGCCCTTGTGATCAGGGCAAGAAAAGCGATGTACAGGAGGATGCCAGGCTGGCCCATGTTACATGCAGAGTAACAGAATACCAAAGCGAGAGGGCTTTCTTCTAGCATCATAGAACATGCCCCAGCAGCACCAGGACAGCCAGGGCATCAGCTTGCCTACCACAGTACCAGCAGTGTGCATCTAGCATATTGGCAAGCATGGCTGAGTCCCCTGAGGGTTAGTGGCCCTGGAAGCTGCCTTCCAGCTGCTCATTTGCATGTCTGCCTCCAAGCGTAATAGGTCCAAATGGAGCCAAAGGATGAGGAGATAGTCTCAAGGAAAATCATACCTTCCTCTGTGCTCCTCCTCCCTCACCATCCTGAGCAGGTGCCTTTCCTTTTGCTTTCTCAGGATGGAAGGTGGGTTAGCTTCCCCAAGGCTGTGCCAGGAGAGGTCTTACACTGCATCTGAGCCAGTGGGGTGGTTCTTCCCTTGGGTTTGTCTCTAATTTGGACTCAGGCCAGCTTGGAGAGCTGACAGCCACAAGCACAAGCAGCTTGTTTTAATGTAACAGCAAATGAAGAGGTTGTACATATAAAAAAAAAAAAAAAAAAA